TTGGCCCTGGCCCCGGCCCCGGCCCCGGGGCCAGCCACTCTACCCCAGACCCCAACCCTTCCCCTCTCCGAGGTCAGCCACGCTACCCCTGACCCCAGCCATCTCCCAGGCCAGCTGCGCTGCACCCGATCCCCTGCCTGGGGCATCCCCCCCACCTTCCCCCCCGGGGTTTAAACTCACCTCACTTGATGGGGCGGCCGGGTGACATTGCTGCGGCCCCGGCCCCGGGGCCAGCCACTCTACCCCAGACCCCAACCCTTCCCCTCTCCGAGGTCAGCCACGCTACCCCTGACCCCAGCCATCTCCCAGGCCAGCTGCGCTGCACCCGATCCCCTGCCTGGGGCATCCCCCCCACCTTCCCCCCCGGGGTTTAAACTCACCTCACTTGATGGGGCGGCCGGGTGACATTGCTGCATCCCTACCGCCTCTTTCCATGGGATCCTAAGACCCGCCGGTTTTAGCTGTGCATGCGCGGCAAACCCAGTGCGGCGTCCGTTCCCCAGAGTGCCGAAGCAGCACTCCTTCAATCACGCCCCCTTTGAAACATTAGGGTGTGCCTGGGCACACCCGGCACACCCTGTGCACACGCCTATGCCCCACACACTGTATGTTTGCCCTGCCACCAGCCTAGCACACCCACCCCCGCGGGGGAAGCGGGGAGGTGACGGGCAAGGAAGAAAATAGCCAGAAACAGGACCTGCCAATACTGATGGTGGAAGACAGAAAATGTGGAGCCATTTGCCTGTTATTAAAAAGTCAGGATGCCTGGAGGAGGGCTTAAATATGAGACTGTTCCTTTAAAAACAGGACATCAGTTCACCCTATTTCTAGAAAACTAATCCTACCGACAGGCAAACCTGATCGTTAGAACCTAAGAGCAGGGAAATTATTTTCTGAGATGGCCTTCTGCTCTGTCCAGGTGAAATGACTGGAAGTTGAACCTAGACAAATTCAGATTAGAAATAAGTGCAAATTTTTAGCAGTGAGGGTAATTAACCATTGGAACAACTTACTAAGGGATATGTGGAATTCTCATTTTTAAGTCAAGATTGGATGTTTATCTAAAAGCTCTGCTCTAGGAATGATTTTGAGGAAGTTCTATGGTCTGTGTAATACTGGACAGGAGGTTAGATTAGCTGATCACAATGACGCCTTTTGGCTTTGGAAACGTGTAACTTTCAGAAGCATTAATTGCTTTGCTGTATTCTTTTCTAAGGCCAGTCTATATATGGTCATTGATGAAGCAATCGAGTGGATATTTGGACACAAATATTGCCCTGCTCCCCTCCAAAAATCAATACAGGCAGTCCCCTGTACTCACGTCGGATCCACCGTTACGAACGGGGCTTTTCTCGCCCCGGAGGACGGGAGCGGCGGAACTCCCAGATGCGCCGCGGTCCGCCGCCCCCGTCCTCCGGGGCGAGAAAAGCTGCTCCCCGTCTCCCTGGTCTGCAGGAAGATGGGGAGCAAAGCCTTGGAGCACGCCTGCAGCGGGACAGCCCGGGAGCGCTTGAGCTGTCCCCCTGCGGGCGTGCTCCGCGGCTTTGCTCCCCATCTCCCGACCAGCAGACCAGGGAGATGGGGAGCAAAGCCTCGGAGCACGTCCGCAGTGGGACAGCCGCGGCGCACCTGGACTGTCCCGCTGCCCGCATGCTCTGTGGCTTTGCTCCGCGTCTCCCAGGTCAGCAGACCAGGGAGATGGAGCAAAGCCGTGGAGGACTTGGGCGGTCCTGCCACCCCCGTCTCCCTGGTCTGCTGGGGGGGGTGCAGCTAGTGTCCCTCCCTCAGCAGACCAGGCTTTTCTTGCCTACCCTTGGGGTAGAGCAGCTGGGGGCTGCCGGGTTGGTCCCGCAGCGCCGCTCCGGACCAATCTGGCAGCACCCCACCTG